CATTTGAATAAAAATGAAACCAGCTGTGGCCTCTGATCTTCCCATTTGTCACCTCTCTGTGTTCAGGGACTCAAGTTATTCACCTTCCTTTGTTCCAGGCCACAAAATCTTCACTTCTGAGTGACGGAGACTGTGAACATGTGGTCAGTTTTTAGCACTTCAGTGTCCTTCATCTCTTTTGTGTCATATGTTTCTTCCCATCAACGATAAAAACTGGGCATCTAGCCTTAGCAACTGTATCATCACAACTGGAGCTCTTCAGGTCTGTGACAGGACAGCACTCATTATCCAGGAAGGCTTCAGCTGAAGGATACAGGTTTAAAAAAAATTACGATGGCTACGATTATGTAACATGAAAAGAGTGTTTTGTGAATCCATATCTGTACTGAAAGGTTATTTTAAAAAGAGAAAGAAGCTCCTCTGAAAGCCAAATGAGAAGATCAATATTTTATTTAAAGACATTAGGAAACTAAAAGCTGTCTTAGTTTCAATCTTATAAAACTGTTGGCGCATAAGCAGCACTCAAACAGCTGTAGTGGTATTTTCCTCAACTTAAAATTGTCTTCACTCGTACAGGTAGGATACAGGAGGTTTATTCTAATGACGCATGCAGTGCAGAGCAAGTTTTTAACAGGTAGGGATGGCCACACTGTCTGTGTGCCCAAAACCCCCAGACATTAACGTTATTGTTCTTGCAATTAAACTATTCAGGAGCAATTACTGTTTGGAGCTATTTCTTGGTAAAGTGACTACACATAGTATTTCAATACTGCCAGTCATCATAGTGGGTTTGCCAATTGGTTGTATTGGTGACAATAAATCATACGTTAGTAAAAACCATTTTCACATGTTCAAAATGAGCTTCAATTTCCACAACCAACCAACAAAACCACGAGTTAGCATGCTACCTCTCTCCGTCTGCTTCACACAGATGTTAAATATGTTCTCCATTGCAACGATCCTGCGGTTAATTACTTCACAAAGTAATTGAACTATTTTACGATTTTAACGATTTTACTCCAGTCATTTCATCCACACTCAGTTGTGGCTGTCATGCTAATCCTCTTAGCCCCTTTGCCAACAGATGACCGAAACACTCCACAGCTACCATTCCTGTATTTAGTTGTGCATTATTTCATTCAGCCCATCCATCTGTACAGCAAATACTACAAAATACTACAGCAATCAATGATCAAATTATTTAAAGTGAATATTAATGGATTTGACTTGCATTTCAAACTAATGTGTAAATTGAAAGGGAAAGAAGGCATGAGAATCTACTTAATTTGTTAATTAAGGGTGTATTAAATTAGGTGTTTTCAAGACCTGTTTTGACCCATTGAAATTAAGGGGATTTTTTTATGTTTTCAGAGGTACTTTCAGCAATAATTAAGAGCATTTTGAGTAATTGTTTTTTTCACAACATAACTGCTGACTGTGTAATACAGTGTTGTTGTTACTAAAAGGATTTCTCACAAAATCATATATGAAGTTTTTATGATACAACACAGTATGGCCCAAAAGGTTAAGTATCAGTATCAATCAGCAGTCCTCCTCCACTTTCTATCACTCTACAATATATCAATTGCCAGGAATCCAACGCCACCTTTCTACTCTCATTTGCTCAGAGCAACAAAACATGGCAACATTCAACATCATCCATTCCTTCAAAGCTGACCGTTTCACTAGAAGCAAATGTCACTCACAGGGTCCCGTTAACCACCAGCTTAGGAGGGGCTCTCAAACTGAGCAGGGCGAGGGGGGGGGGGGGGGGGATTCAGTTCAGTGGAGCTTTGAATTGAATAACAATGTGACTGACTATCTGAGCAGCAAGCTCTTATCTGCAGACCTCAGTACGACTCATCCTGACACCCCGCTTCAGTGGGACATGAGTAGCCATTTTAGATCGAGCGTCCGTAAAGCAGCATGATCCACATTCATGAATAATGTAGGAGGGGAACACAGGCGTTATGGAAAATTACACATCGCGGTGCTGCTGTGACATCATCGGCCACCAATGGGGGATTTTGCTGTGTGATAGATAATTGATAATGTTTGTGAATGTGAGGATGTGTGTAAGGTGGTGGAATGATGCGGTCATAATCCTCCAGACCACACCACCCCACCTAGGAAGCTAAGAATTGTTTGAATACACACACCAAAAACTTTTAACATTTTAATATTTCAGCATTATATTTACATTTTCGCTAAATGCTATTTCCATGTTGATGCCTGCCGTCACATATATATATATATATGTATATATGTATATATATATATAAATATATGTGTAAAACATTAAAAATCTCAAGCTTCATGTTAGTGATCAGATTTATGCAAATGTGCATTCAGATTGTGTTACAAGATTTTTGAATGTGTCCACAAATCTATAAATAATTATAATTTATGAATATGTACATGAATCTGAATGCATACACTAATCTCTATATATGCGTAAAGGAATCTGAAAATATGTTCAGTTTGTGAAATCACCATTTACAACCATGTACACCATGAAGAGGAAGCTCCATTTCCAACAATGTTAGCGCCTTGCTGAACAGTAGCAAGTCAAGTCAAACAACAATGTAACGACAGTAGAACAATACAAAACAACAGTAAAAACAATCATTTAAGGGGAGTTATGGTACATGGTAGGCTACATACTATTTCCCAACAAGTTAGCTAGTTACTAGTAAGTGTACTAAATGCTAACCACGTCTTTGCTAAAATGTTGAAAATCTGTCTATTCAAACTGCTCTTTTAATAAAGTACTACAGTAGCTGTAAATCAATTTATAAAATTCCACAAGCCACAATCAAAACAAGGGTAGTTGACTGAAACTGACAGGAAGTGATTATTAGATAAATACGGTGGTTATAATAGCAGCATCAGATGACTCCGTGATGTGACAGTCATACGACCTCGACAGTCATTTAACACACAGCGAGGAGAGCTGAGGTCAGTTGAGATGCATTATGTCCCATCATTTGATCTTGTTTCTCCCGCTCTGTTTGGTCTACATGACACTAATGAAGGGCCAATATGACTATCAGACAATAGGCTGTCTTCAAAAGGACTGGACAAAGAACGTAGAGAGAAAAGGATGACATTGCTTTAAAATTGTAGGATGATCCTTTGTATCGTTTTATTTATATTCTGAAAGGATGCAAGTGTATGGTCGTCTACAAAGTCACATGAAAGGCATGCATATATAGTGTGCGGTCCATCTAATGTAGTGATATAGCCTCTGCCGAAGCTGTGGTCCTGCAAACAGCTGCGTGGTTCAAACAGGAACAAGTGAGCTCCCTGCTGGTCAACGAGCAACACTGTGTTGTTGGGAAGGAAAGAAAACTAGAAACAGGGGTAAATAAGTAGAGTAACAGCACATAAGCTATACTGTCCAACACTGTCAATATGTTGCTTGCCTTTTGCTTTCTAAAACGACACATACAAGGGTTTTCTGATGTGACGCTCCTGTCAGTAGGATGGCATCGTTTGTCTGTGCTTCCCAAATCCATAAAAAAACACACAAATTATATCATAGAATAACTGTTATATAATACTAAAAATGTAAACATACAGTTTCATGACAACTCTAACTACATATAGTCTTAATGAATGTGCCACAGTGTGTTTCATTTCTTATGTGACAGTTAAAAGCTCCTGAATCTTGAATATAGTTCATGTGATCATATCATATGATCTTCCAGCCCCGTCTCCTAGAATTCACCGTTATATAAAAGTAAACAGCAATAGTAAATATGTTTCATAGGAAATGTCGGAATCCAATAAATCAAACGGGGGTCCCTTGGTTAGTAGAAGCTAGCACAGTTTCCATGGTAATTGTCTGTACAATACCCCCAACCCCCGCCAACCTCCCACCCACCCACCAACCACCGAATGGCTGCAATGCAATACAGGAAGTGCAGTCATGGAGGATGCTGTGCGATAGTCTCCAGCGTGGCACATTAACCTACTTCCCGCACCAGCCGGGAAACAACCCGGACACAGAACAGGAGAGGAGGAGGAGGAGGAAAAAGGATGGAAGGAGGAAAGGAAAGGAAAAAGATAAGTGAGGGAAGAGAGGTGATGGGGAGGCAGAAAGAGAGGGAAGAAGGGATGGAAAAGGATGGGTGGGAGGGAATGAGGAATGGTGGGGATGCAGGGGGGATGGAAAGCAAGGAACCACAAGGGAGGGAAGTGACTAGGAAAAAAAAAAAGCAAAGGAGAGATGGCAGGATAAGGCAAACAAGGACGGTAGAGAAAAGGTGAAAGGACATAAAATAAAATTGAAGTGGCTAATAGCAATAGATTTTTAAATCCATTAAATATTAACCTTTTAAATAAAAAAAGAGTGTAAATAGGATTTCTGGTTATTCACTAACATGAATATTTACACATAATTACTAAAATTACTAAGCCCTAATCACACTAAAGGTACTACAGGATGTTTGCTGCAAACACAGAAAATCAGATACTGCAATCTGCAAATACTCACTCAGATGAATCAAACATCCACACAAGCAAATCTAATTAACAATTAATATATGCTGCAGAATAGAGAACTGATGATAGTTTGATACAGTAAAGCGCTGATAAGCAACATTAATCAAACTCAAAGACTCCCTTGTTGTATACTGATGACATTATTTCCCCTCTGCCCATGTGCAAAGCATCCCTCTGCATCTCTCCTCACTCAGCGGTCCCGATGAGAGGATGGCGATTCCCCGCCTCTCTTTCAAGCTACTCTGCCTCTCTTCATATTTACAACCAGCTCAAGGATTTCCAGAAGAAAAAAAAACAACTGCAACCTTGAACGACATCTTCCTCCATACGCTTCAGCTAACGACAGGGGGATAGTTCCACCAGAGAAGAGGCTTCTCCTCTACGTTTTACAATTTCCCACAGTGGAAGGACCTTGAAAACAAAAAGCTCCTCTAGGTCTAACCATCTGAAAGTGTGACGATGAAGGGAAAAAGGGGAGAAATGTAACGACTTACCAACATGAGTGATGACACACTGCACCCTCTGTAGAAGCTCCTGGACCGACATCTCGTCTTCTCTCAGCCAGCACAGCATCTCAGGGTGTGGGTTGCATCCACTCTCCTCTCCTTCTCTCTCTCCGCTGCCACGCCTCCTCCAGTCACCCTTCCTTCCTCGACAATCTCCCTGCTATCGCTCCCTGATCCAATGTTGTCCCCCCAAGTTTTCTTCTTTGCTCTGCTGCTTCTAGTTTATAGTTCTTTTTTTTTCTTCTTCTTCTTTTTTTTTTTTTTTTTTAATTTTCTTCCATCGAGCCTCTCCTCTGCTTCATCACAGCTCCTCCAAATCCAAACAGTCACAAATCCTGTGGATGGTGATGCTACTCCCAGCCATTCAGCAAAATAGTCAGCCTGGGAATAAAATAATCAGCTTGTTAACCAGGCAGTCAGAGAATAAAACAGCAAGTAGCTCGGCCAGCCAGCCAGGGAGTATAAGATAAACAATCAGCCAGTGTTTAGTGATCAAAATAGCAAGTCAATTTATGAGCCAGTCGAGCAGTAAATAAACACCAGTCAGTCAGTCATTCAGTCAGTCAGTTATTGGACAAAAGAGACAGTTTGTCAGCCTGTCAGTGAGCAAACTACGCAGTTACTGAAAAACAGTCAGAAAAATCATTAAAGAAAAGAGCCAGTTTGTCAAGAAATGTGTAAGGCACAGCCCAAAACAGACACACAGTAATAAGGTTTTTAAAACTAGTCAGCAAAATATCAGCCACTCAAACAATTATTCAGACCTTTTCATGATGCTGGCACACCTATTCTCCAAGTCAAAAACACAATAATCCACAAAGCAAAAAAAGATGTTTAAGACATGGCAAACCTAGAAAAAGCAAAGGATGCTCCTGTATGTATGTATATATATAAATATATATATATTGTCAGTCACTCCCCTTACAGGAAGACTCTCCAGGCTCTGGGTAGGAAAGCACTGTTGTTTCTGCTTTGATGATGCTGTGTTTGCTATAATAAAGAAGATGAGTCACGAAGAGGGAAAACGAATCAGAGGGCTGCTATACCTGCAGGGCGGAGAGAGACACACAGAAACAGAGGGGAGGGTGGATGGATGGGGTGGGGGCAGGTTCTAGAGAGAAATCCTGGTGCCTGGAGCTGGGCTGTGGATGGATCGGAGCCACTGAAACAGACTGATCATCAAACTGAAATATTTAAGGATTTTATTGGATTTAAGGCAGGGGAGATAACACGTAAATTCATTTTTAAATTAACAGTGTCGTTTTTTGAGTCACTTAAAAGACAATATCATTGTTAAGCATCTCTGATTTCACCACCAACAAAACAAATGAATAGCCTCCACTCATCATTTGTCATTAATGCTTTGGCCGCCTGGATTCATTCATGCTACCAGAGAACTCAGCTGATCCCGCTCCCCATTTTGATTAAAGCAGTGATGCCTGGGCGGAGCATTAGCATCTCTCCTCGAGTCTAAGGCTCCTGGGACCGTGGAGACTGCTGGGAGACAACCATTAGCCTGAGACATCTGTGCACGGCCTAACCCTGCCACTTACTGCGCTCTGCCAACCAATTAGAGGCCCGACTGAAGGCTTTCAGACAATAGAAACATGCAGCATCGATGACACAGCAGCTGCCAGACAAAGCGCACCATAATCCTGAACAATGTGTAATGTGTGCAGCCCACTGTCCATATGCAACATTGTTGATTTAGTTGAAGTCATTTTGTTTGTTGTAAATACCAAATTTATAAATAACTGGCAAAAAAAACATGCCAATTATCGCAGTCCTAATATTGTGCAATAATAAAGTAGAGTAATGTAAGACGAGCATGAGTCGGTTCAGTTACAACCCTGTAGCCTACAAACCTGGATACTCCACTACACTCAGCTGCTGCTGCTGCCGCTGCTGATACCAGCTCTCGTACAGACTCACTGCACTCGACACTTTCCGTACACGCTGAGCTGCACTACGTAAGCCGAGGAAACGCTTGGGGGTTTATGGGCTCAGTCAAACATTGCAGACTCAGTGCTTGTAAATCTGTGGATGTTGCTCCTGACTCCTGCTGCCGGCGGTCTGATTAAGTTACACAACTTTTAGTTTTATGATTATTGTTTTGCCTCGGGTTCGTCCAAATAGGAAATTTTAATAAAAACGACACTGCAATGCCCGGGAGCGACAGCTCCTCTTTTTCAGGCCAAGTTCTCAATTTAGCCTATTTCTAACCACAGGCGGAAAGTTTGTTTCAAAACTGTAAAATGAAAATCCACAAGCGTAGAACTGAGATCTACAAATGCTTTTTCGCTTCACAAATAGAAAATTGATTCACAAATGTCTGTTTGAAAGTTGTAAATGTAAGGAAGATACAAATACTTTTCATTTATTTGTAAATCGATTGAATTTATTCACAGATATTTTTTATTTGTGGAATTTGTTTGTGTATTTGCATATCTGTTTTATATTTGCAAGATATTTTTGTGAATTTGCTAATTAATTTTTTGTACTTATAGAAGGTGTTTTATATTTAGAGATTACACATTTACGCACGGATTGTCGATCAGTTCACAGAAATAATACTGAAACAAATCTACCTCCGTAGGCCTCTGTATACTGAGGGACAAACACTAGAGCATCCCGGTGTAGCGTCGCTAGGAGACGTGAAAGAGCAAGGGAGGGGCAGGACTAACTCCAGCGTCAACAGCATCTGATTGGAAGCCACGAAATTTCGTCGGCGGAAGTTATGTTTGCCGCCAGAGCGGGAAGACAGTACTGCTGTTACACATGTCAACAACCGGGTAGTGATATCATAGCTAGGCTTTAACACGCAGAAACCCCCCGACTGTGGAATATTCAGGTGAGAGTTTGCCTCAACAGCGGTTGATATATAAGGTAAGCTCGATGTGTCTCTGCAGAATCAACAGGTAACACTAGGCTAACACTGTTAGCTAACCAATAACGAACTAGCCCGCACCAGCTAATTGTTGTTATCGGGTTGGTAGCCATCATATGAAACGTTAGCTATAATTTATTCCATTGCAACTAAATTATCTTACGTCAATGGTTGTCATTTTAAATGGTAAACGATAAAATGCAGTTCTAGCAGCTAATAAGGCTGGTGTTGAGAGGTATCTATTATTTTGATTTTCAGTTTTCTCACATCTAACATAGCTACGCACTTAAGAGAAACTGTTCTGTAGATTATCTTCTATTCCGTTAACTCTACCACTGACCATACTATCTGAATAACGGACTAGTTAAATGGTAGCAAATGTTATCTCTTGTAAAATTAAGCTTTTTGGACATCACTCACAATCGAGCTACATTAAAACTAACGTTACAGTGTTGAATTTCATCTTGTGGTAAAACAAAACATACAAAGTGAGATTTTATTGTACGAAATGTAACTGCAGTGTTCTTTAACATTACATTTTTAAGTTGGATAAGTGTTGTGTCCATTAAAAAGTGGATCATGACTGAGCTAATTCCCAGCAGTCTGCAAGACTTGAACATGAAACTCTTGAATGCAGCAGGGGTATTGTTTAGTTCCTGGTGGTAAAGGTGGTAGTTTGACCCTCCTGGATATCCATTAGATACTACAGACATGATGTATCTGATATCCAAGGGAAACCTTGTGCTGCAGCTTTGTTTATGTGTCATATTTATCCATGTGTGTGTCTGTTTCTGCATCTTGTATGTTTATTATTATCCCTGGATGTTTCTGCTGCTTTTACCAGAGTCAGAGGTCAGGAGTCATGCAGGCCTTTTTGAAAGGAGCAACTGTTCACTCTACCAGACCTCAGAAAGACAAGGCAGCAGCAGGGCCCAGTACAGAGAAGAAAGCCAAGGCTGTTCCTTGGGTAGAAAAATAGTAAGTCTGAACCCCAAAGGTGTGCTATGTCTGTTTGATTGTATGAATCAGGCTGTACTGGACTGCATTATATTGAGAAGTGTATCTAATATTTTGTCTTCCTCATGTTTGTAAATGGGAAGAACAAAAAAATAGAAACACCTCTCATAAAATGTAGCACAACCTTTAACTGTGACCTCAGTAAACCTATAATTGACTTTACACATTTGCAATAGGTGTTCCATGACCACTGAGTTTATGTAATCTGTGAAGATGAATCATAGCCTTGCAAGGCTATATCAAATGTGTCTAATAAACTAGTGAGATATAGTAAATAAATATTAACAGGCTCTGTTTTTGCAAACCTCAGCAGGCCAAAGTCTGTTGATGAGGTAGCCTTTCAGGAGGAGGTGGTAGCAGTGCTGAAGAAGTCTCTGGAAGGAGCAGATGTAAGTATCAGGCACTCACACTAACAAACACTTTATTAGGAACACAATACTAAAACTGGGTAGGGCCTCCCTTTGCTCTCAAAACAGCCCCAGTTCATTGTGGCATTGATTCCACAAGATGTTGGAAACGTTCCTTTGAGCTTCTGCTCCATGTTGACATGATTGCATCCCATAATTTCTGCAAATTTGTCAGCCGCACATTCATTTCTGCCACTCTCCTGTTCTACCACATCCCAATGGTGTTTTATTGGATTCAGATCTGGTGACATGGGAGGCCACTGAAGTTCACTGAACTAATTGTCATGGTCATGAAATCAGTTAGAGAAGATTTTCGCTTTATGGCATTTTGCATTATATAATAAACAAGGAGGTATACAATTATAACATATATATTATATAAAATAACTTAAAAAAAACAGTTCACAAACAAAGACAAATATCAGCTAAATTATGCATTCTTTCTGTAATGTCCTACAAAGTCTCATTGGGGTTTGTGTTGTTATTGCAGCTTCCCAACTTGCTTTTCTATGGCCCTCCTGGAACAGGAAAGACCTCCACCATCTTAGCTGCTGCCAGAGAACTTTATGGGTGAGTGAACTGTTAATAGGGTTGTGGGTAAGAAGCAGAGACTTCAGCTCTTTGTCAGTTACTCTTTTTTTGTTTTAGTTAGATTATTCACCTGTTTTCTGTTCATGGACATTTTCTTCTTGTATGAATCTCATCCTCCTCCACTGTCTCCCCTCCAGTCCAGAGCTGTTCAGACAGAGGGTGCTGGAGCTCAACGCCTCAGATGAACGCGGCATCCAGGTTGTCAGAGAGAAGGTCAAGAACTTCGCTCAGCTCACCGTGGCTGGAACTCGCTCAGAGTGAGTCAGCATTGATATTAATATAGGGCAATTTTCCTGATGGATGCTGGGTAATAACCATATAAACTAAAAAAAATGCCTTCATTTTTTTGAAAAACCTTTAATGTTGGGATGAATAGTTTTTGATGCGTCTTTGTCAGAGAATTCCAAACTCATGCTAAAACTTTCAGTCACTGTGTTCTTCTCTATTGTAGTGGGAAGCCATGTCCTCCTTTTAAGATCATCATCCTGGATGAGGCAGACTCTATGACAGCACCAGCTCAGGCTGCGCTCAGACGGACCATGGAGAAGGAATCGCGCACCACCCGCTTCTGCCTCATCTGTAACTACATCAGCAGGTCAGCTGACTGATCAGTCATCAGCACACAAACACACTCTCTGCGAGACTGGTCCTGACTTTGCTGTGCGTCTGTGTTTTCTAGGATTATTGAACCTCTGACCTCCAGATGTTCCAAGTTTCGCTTCAAACCCCTTGCCAATCAGATCCAAGAACAACGCCTGCTTCAGATCTGTGACAAGGAGAACCTCAAGTACACCAAAGAGGTAATAAAGAAAGGATATGACAGTGTTACTGTAAGGCGGACCTGTAAGACATTTTCAATCTGTCTTTCATTCCTGTGGTTCAGTTCAAATATTGATACAGCTGCCAACAACATGTCATCAGAGCAGCTCTGTCCTGTGACAGCAGAATAGAGTGAATAGTTTGAAATGAAGTTGGATGCTAGAAAACTTAAGTGAGAGGCAGTCAAGGGGATGTGATATTAAATGTGCTATTTGTAAGTTTTGCTATCGCTACCATAGCCAGCGTTAGCATTAACAGCTGTTTACTTACCAGTCTAGAAGAAACGTTGCAACTTCAGCATCAAACTTCATTCCTTTACTCACCAAGAGAATCTTTTTAGGCTTCAGGGCTGGCAGAGAACTCCAACTGCTTTCTTTGCACAGTGGAGGTGTGATGATTGTTTCTGTTCATCTAGAGTATAGCAGCATTGGTGAAGGTGTCTGAGGGAGACCTGCGGAAAGCCATCACCTTCCTCCAGAGCGCTGCGCGCCTCAACAGCGACAAGGAGATCACAGAGCGTGCTGTCATTGAAATAGCCGGGGTGAGACGCACTTCTTTGTGTTATATTGGAGGCTGGAGAAACTGATGAAATCTTGCGTCGCTATATTTCAGTCATGTCACCGTTGTGCTGTTTTATAGGTTGTCCCTCCAAAGATGATCGACAACTTGCTCCAGATCTGCTTCAAAGGAACATTTGAGAAACTGGAGGTTGCAGTCAGTGTAGGTGTTGACATATCAGTGCTTTGTCTCTGCATTTGTGTCCTAAGTTTATAACACTTTCTTGAGTGTCAAATGCTTTTATTTTCTTGTCAGTTGTTCAAAATGGAAGATTTGAGATATAATGTTTCACGGCAAAGACTTTAACTTAATATGTCATTATGAAAAATAAGCAAACAAATTAAAAAATTACCAAAAAAGGCCAGTTTCATCTGTGATGTCACACATTAACTGATTTAACTACTCTGTATATTCCTGATGTTGACATGCAGTGAACTCACATTCTCACATGGTGATTGTCTCCCCTGTCAGAACATGGTGGATGAAGGCTACGCAGCCACACAGATCCTGAGTCAGCTCCATGAGTCTATCATAGAGCAGGACCTGAGTGACAAGGAGAAGTCAGCCATCACAGAGAAGATGGCGGTAAGTGATCTGATGCAGCGCTCCTTCTGGTGGAGCTCCAGGGGTCCTGGAGGAAATTGGGGAAAATGGGTGATCAGTTATATTTAAGTGGGGATGTGTGAGGAAATGCTTTGTCTTTTCACAGTACTATTAATGTGCCATTAATGATTGAAGTCACACATGAGCCTTTAAAACTAACTGGTGCACGCAAATGGGATGAAACGTTTAAACTTGCCTTGTCTGATAGATGATCAATAAACTCCTGTGTGGCTTTTACTATGCAGACAGATATGATGCTTTTTAAATCAGTGTCATCACACAAAGCTACATGTCATTTAGACATAAATTAGGGTAGTGTTTATTACTTCATATATGGTGATTCAATCTTTTAATTGATCTCATTGGGGCCATAATTCACTCTAATACGTCTTGTAGAAGTTAATGTCCTTCAGATGGACTCATACCTTATACATGCTGTTTGTGCTTGTTTCCTCTCTGGTTCAGGTTGTGGGTAAGTGCCTGGCAGATGGTGCAGATGAGTACCTGCAGATGTTGAGCCTCTGTTCAGTCATCATGCAGCAGGCCTCCCAGAACAGCAGCTAAAACTGCACAAAACAGCATCTCTTCCCCACAGAGAGTTCTGTCATCTGCTTACAACAGGACCAATGGTGTCACTGAGACACGAGCACTTCATTCAGATTAAACTGACTTTGTACAGATTTGCGGTTTGGGACGTCACATCCACCAGTGGATACCAGATGATAGTGGTGTTGTTTACCTAATGTCTCCCTCCACTGTATGGTGAGCACAAATTAGACAGAACAATGTGAATATGCTTTCAAAATCTCTGTTACTGTTTATTCACCATTCAGATGTCTCCTTATTTCATCCTTGTTACTATTTACCAACAGATCTTTGTACACTTTTTGAATTTTGGAAAGTAATAAATAATTTTCTGTATCTGTTTCCTTGAAGTCATTCCTCATGATGATGATATAAACTAAGGCCACATCCACATTAATACGTTTTACTTTTAAAATGCATCTTTTTTGCTGCGTTTACGCCGAGTCCCTAAAGCGCAGACTTTTGGAAACAATGTTGGCCTTGTTAAACTCGTGATTTAGTCTGGATGGGTAGAAACAACAAAGCAGACACCCATGTTCACTTTCTGATTGGGTATTATCAGTCATGATGTATCCTCTGATCTGTGACGCTCATATCACATGACCCACGTCCAGACAAAAACCAGTGGGGAATGCAACATGGATAATGAATAATAGATGTTGCTGACCTTTTTGTCTTCAACTTCAACTCTGCAGTGATTCTGAAATCTCTGGTCTTCTCGCCATTTCTTTTCCTTGTTCATAGTATTTTCTGCAACTAAAAAACCAACCACAAAGTAGATACAGTTACAGGTAGCATCACTACTTACAGACTTAGACACAGCAGGAAGTGTCCAAAACAAACAAAAATGGCATCTCTGATCTAAGTGTCATTCTAATAGAAAGTTTAAAAGAAAACTGTCAAAAATACATAAAAATAGGGAAAAATCTTCAGAACAACATTTTTTTTAAAATTGTTTTCCATTATTCTCCATTTATTGTTGTTACCTACATGTTAGACCCCCGCCTCTGAGAGGGGTGTCTGAATCAGTGCATGAATGTCTCTCAGAGGCAGGGCTCTCTCAGCTTTCCTTTTAGGAGTGTTTGAAAACTGATTACAGACCTTGAAAGTCAGTTATGGACATTTCAGTGATTAAATCAAATTATAGCATGATCATTATTCAGTCAGTTGTTGCATAGAATACAGATCCAGCACAGCATCTGATTGGTTTAGCCACTGGACCAAGGCTTTCATTTCATCACACATTTTCAACATAAGACAAGATGCCAGTACATCAGTCTAACCTTACTGAAAACACCCTGCTCAGGGTTTCATGACACCTGCACATTAAGCAAAGAATCCCCAGAGAAACACATTAATAGTCAGGAGCAATAGAGCGTTAATATTGCAGACTCTCCTCCAGAACGGATTCTCCTGCAGGGAGTTCAGTCCACTGGTCTCAGTCACTGGAGGTGCAGAGCCAGAGTTCGCACCAGTTAGACCACAGAGCCTGAGAGCAGCTTTCCTCCACCAGGAGTCTGGCAGACAGTCAGAGTCACAGCTGACGTCAGAGTTCACTGGGTCAGACGGGATCTGAGGTCCTGTGAGGTCCACCCGGGGCTCCTGGCTGTATCTGGACCACCAGGTCAGCCTGTGCAGCTGGACAGGATAGACAAATGTCAGATACTCCCTTAACTTTAAAACGCAAAAACTATCATGATCTACCTTCCAACCTGTAATACAGGTTCACTATGTGGATGCATTTCCACTGCTGTAGTTTAACATGTAGCCAATGTCAGCAGTTCTGCTTTTGCTTCCACTGTTCTCCACCTGCTTTGGGGACAAGTTCCTAGAGCTAAGTGTGTGGTGCCAGGTACTTTCATACTGTGTAGCCAGCACACCTTTAAGAAGGATTCAGTATTCCATACTTTCAGGTACTCGTGACAATAACCATCAAAATTCATTCAATGAAATTCATGCAATAACCATCAAAATTCATTCAATGAAATGGCATGTTTTCATCTAAACTGGGTAGGAAAAAAAATACAAGCGTCCGGTATTCATCTTCTGTTTACCATCTCAGTTTACAGATGAGAACGTAAAGAAAATGAATGTAAGACATGTTCCTTACATTTTCTTTAGGTATCGGGGCGGTGGCCAAGCTAACAGCAGCAATGACGAGGCAGGTGAGAGCCAACAGGATGAGAGCAAAGTACAGGTAGTGGACATCAGCCAGGAGAGCAGGCCGATGATCAGGCTGACCACAGGAGGGAGCTAAATAGGAGAACTCCAGAACCATGCGGATCAGTCCCACCACCAATCCACTCATCAGTCCCCAGAATGCACCCTGAGACACACATACACAAAATATGAAAAGCACAGACATATGGAACTTTGATCTTGTAGACTTGTCTTGTAGAGAAGTCCAGTGGACTGTCCATGAAGCTTTTACTTTTACTGTCCCTGAACTGGACAAGCACAATTAAGTCAGTATTTATGTGCACTGTCGGGCTTGGTAGTACTATTGTTTTATAAATGGGAAATCTGTTAAAATTATGAGTGTTTAATTTTAGTTATAATTACATTGCAGCCAGATTTATATCCACTGAAATAACAATTTAATTAAGGTAATTGGGGTCATTTGTTGGCAGAGGACGGCTTAGGGTGATATTGCAGCTGATGCTGCAGAGGGTTTACTACACGTTTATTACACACTAAAAGCATCAACCATACAACCAATAGTATTTGTGTGTAATAAACACAAGGCACAAATTGTATCCTTGCAAGATATACAGGTGTAGGTGTGTGTGTGTGTGTGTGTGTGAGTAAGTGAGTGAGAGTGAGAAAGAGAGAGACCTACCTGCTCATTGGCACGTGGCCAGAAGATAGCCATCATGAACACAGCGGTAATGGGAGGAGCTAGAAAGCTGGTCACTGATTGGATATAATCAAACAGCTGGCCACTATTGGCTGTTTGGATGACTGGAATCCACAACAGACTGACACACACCAAGACCAGGATGAACACCCTGAAAATACATACAGTATTATTATTATTATTATTATTATTATGTCAGCTGGGTTAGGTCAAAAAGAGGGGAACGTTTCAGAGTTTGTTTGACAACATGGCTTTTGAATTTTGGACCCTATAAAACAATAAAACAACTACCATTCGTTTACATCTTCCGTCATTCCCCAAAATATGCAGCCATACAACTTCATAATGACCGCTACCTTCCAACAATCATGAGTTCCATCTCAGAAGCTTTAGGTCTGGCTCGGTGGTAGAGGTCCAGTGTAAACAGAGTGGAGCTGCTGTTAAAGATGGAGGTCAGAGATGACATCAGAGCGGCTAACATCACTGCTAGCATCAGACCTCGAAGACCTGCACAGAGACAATGATCAATTTACAGAGGGGGAAAAACAATAATAATGCAGAAGCAAATAACAGCACAGCAAACATGTCATAGAGACGTATACAGTTCATCGTGATTTGATTGCTCTACAGTCTACACAGTTTCAATAAAAAAAAGTTTGTTGTCCATGTGTTGATGCAAGATTTTAAGGTACAAAAACATATTTAGAAAATCCAAAATATCAAATATGGAGAATGGAGGATTCTGCATAATTAAGTAAGTTTCAGTGCAAGACCAAAAGTTTGGTTTGGTTTATTTCATGCTTAATTGTACAAATATATGCTGCCTTCTCGGCTCTAAACTTAGATACAGCTGGACTGAAAACAGCTGTTGTGTATGCGCTTGAAACTCACCCATAGGCATTAGCTCTATCACTAGTTTAGGGTAGGCGATATTGGAGCAACCGACTGAAGCTCCACACACACGCTTACACACCGCTGGATCCACACAACCTATTTCATCTACAAACACATAAACAGGGAGAATAGAGAAGGGGAGAAAATAAAACATGTGAATCATTGGTTTCAGAGAGTATTTAAGTATTTAAACTGACATTTTTCCCATCAATCTACATTCAGTAACCAGTAATGACATGTTTTCAGAAACAACAATCCACACCCTTCTTGCTCAGTTTTACTTTTTCTCTACTAGTTCATCACACTTGGTGTTTTATGTAGTAAACCCAAATCATAGCTGTGTAGGGACCAAACGTGTTTTAAATGGAAGATCGGTGCCTGTACTTCTACATAAAGAACTATTGACATGAGAGTTCAACAGAGAGAGGCAGACAGACTGACCTGGGAACAGTGCTCGACTGATCATGCCTGGCATGACAATGAAGAACATGGGCAGCAGTTTGAGGTAGCCGCCCAACACACTTCCTCCTTTGGCGTGAGACAAAGACTTGGCTGACAGAGATCTCTGGACTATAACCTGCACACACATACAGACACACATACAGACACACACACACACACACACACACACACACACACACACACACACACACACACACACACACACACACACACACACAGTTACTATGCTTTTTTAGAAAAATCATGGATCAATGACTAGGGGGACAACTTCACACCACATGAGATACAAAGAATACTCTATGAACAACACGTCTTAAAGTAGGCAAAGTCACCTGATCTGTGCACCAGACCCATGTAGCCAGCACCGTGAGCCCAAACACCAGACCTGGCCAGGGTATATCCCCTGACACGGGGTCTCTGAACATGCGGAAAGCATCACTACGAGGAAGGTGGCAGGTGGTGTTGGCAACTGTCACTGAGGGAACAGCTGACATATATTGGGTCATGAGGCCCTCGTACCAGCCAACTTTGGAGAATGCTGGAAAAATGTACAAGAAAAAACACACACACACACTTTACTATTAATTAATGAATTTACAATGAATAGGTATTTTCTGTGAGACACTTGACATGAAAATGTTCACTCAACAAAAGTCATACAAAACATTTTCAGTTTTAGTTATCTGAACAAGAGTCCAAGCAGAAATCCTTCTTTTCACAAAGTCTATGTCCAGCATGTTATTGACTGTGTGTGTGTGTGTGTGTGTGTGTGTGTGTGTGTACCCTACCTATGAACATTAGTGCAAAGGCTCCCCCAACCATGATCACAGTCTGGAGTGCATCGGTGTAGATCACTGCTGCCAAACCACCTATATCACACACACACACACACACACACAAGACAGACAGATACACACATTTATGTTACTGTGTACGGCAGCAATTCAACAAGGAGCTGGCATTATGCTTTTTTTTAGGTTAATATGTCTGGAGAAACTAGCTAATAATAACTGTTAATAATAAGAACATTATAGGCAGGATAAAGAACGGAGACTGTGACTGAGCCAGAAAAGTGGCTACATCCATGAAAGTAGTGA